AAGAGCTTTAACCAACAGCTGTGTTTGCAAAAAGTGCTAGATTGTTGTCCCTTTCAGGACATTTAATCTTTTAAATCCTCAAAATATTTTATAAAATGTGAGTAAAGTCACTTCTGACCTGTTGAGAGGCACTATTTTTACTGACATAACTCTCTTTTGAGATCACTTTATTTGAGCTTGCAGCTAATAAATCTGTTTTGGCCCATATGAAATGATTTTGTAGCCCACATATCCTTTAACTGGTTATTTGAACTTTTATTTAGTACATCATTTGTATTTGCTGTTAAGGGGGTGTTTTTATTATATTGTCAGTTGTTGGGAATGTTCTTTAGCATGAGAAAAAATGTAACTCAATAAACATATAATATTTTATAATTAAATATTTGGATTCTTGTTGGAAACATAATTTCAGACCTAAAGAAATGATTGAAATCAGCAAATTAACACTGATGTAATGACATTGATGTAATCTATAGATTCTATTTAAATGTCTTCAAGTTTCTCAGTCATGCTCTTTATATGAAAAGAAAATCCTGGCCCTGGCCCATGTAGCTAAGTTGGTTGAACCTTGTTCCATGAACCAAAAGGTTGCTCATTTGGTTTCTAGACAGGGCACATGCCCAAGATGCGGGTTTGGTCCCTGGTCGGGGTATGTTTGGGGAGGTAAACAATCAATGTTTCTCTCTCACATTGATGTTTCTTTCTCTCTCCCTATTTCTTCCTCTCTCTCTCTCTAGAAAAAAAAAACGAAAACAAAAAAACCCTGCATCACAAGTAGCATAGAGTTGTCATGTGTCTTTAGTCTCCTTTAATTTGGAACAGTTTTAACTTTTGCGAATTTAACATTTTTTGGAGATTATAGACCAGTTGTTTTGTAAATATGTTTTTAAAAAATATATTGGTTTCAGAGAGAGAATGGGAGAGGGAAAGAGAGCTAGAAACATAAGTGATGAGAGAGAAACATCTACTGGCTGCCTCCTGTAACCCCCCCTACTGGGGATCCAGCCCTCAACACAGGCATATGCCCTGACTTCGTGGTTCATGGGTCGATCCTCAACTACTGAGCCACACTGGCTGAGCTATGCAGTTATTTTGTAGCAGGTTTAATTCATGTTTCACAAATGATGTGTTTTTCATTATGTATCAGGAGGCATGTGATGTTGGCTTGTCCCATTACAGGTGTCTACTTTACCAGTAATCACTTGGTTAAGGTAGTCTGCCAGATTGCTCTACCATCAAGATATGCTTTTCCTCTTTGTACTTAATAAGTATCTTAGAGACTATTTTGAGACTTAAATATTTTGTTACTCTTCAAAACTTTTACCCATTATTTTTAGTCATCCACTGATGAATTGGAATTATGATGATTGTCAATGGTAATATCCTAATTCCATAATTTTTCTACATTTATTAGTTGGGATTCTGATGTAAGGAAGAACTTCCCCTTCCATTTACCCTGTTTCCCCGAAAATAAGACAGTGTCTTATATTAATTTTTTCTCCCAAAGTTGCGCTAGGTCTTATTTTCAGGGGATGTCTTATCTTTCCATGCGCTAGGTCTTATTTTTGGAAGATGTCTTATTTTTGGGGAAACACGTACTTGTTTTTGCCAGTATGAACTCATGGATTCTTATTTAATGCTTTACATGTAAGCTGTCATCATTTAAACAATTTTTTAAAATATATATATTTTATTGAGTTTTTACAGAGAGAGAGAGGGATAGAAAGCTACAGTAGAAACATCGATGAGAGAGAATCATTGATCAGCGGCCTCTTGCACATCCCCTACTGGAGATGTGCCCACAACCAAGGTACATGCCCTTGACTGGAATCGAACCTGGGACCTTTCAGTCCACAGGCCGATGCTCTATCCACTGAGCCAAACTGGTTTCAGCTCATTTAAACAGTTTAATCCTTAAATTATTATATACTAGTGGCCCAGTACATGAAATTTGTACATATTAAAAGGGAATTAATTAGAAGAAATATTTTAATATTGCTATTTGCCCTTTCTCTATAATAGAAGTGTCAGAAACAAAAGAAAATTAGTAAAATGTATATAAAATCTCCCTCCTTTCAGAGTCTGGGGTGTGCCATTGGACCTAGAGTCAAGTCCCCACCCTCCACCCTCATGCACTTTGAAAACACAGGAGACCCAGACCAGGCCAGCCCCACCCCATTGGGTGAGACTCAGATCCAGCTGGCCCCAACCCCGTCAAGCCCCTCCTGGTGGGGGGCACAGCCTCAGGTCCCCTGGCCTGCCACCAGGGTGGGGGGTGTGGCCTGAGGGTCCCCTTTCAAGCCCTGCCGGGTGGTTATGTGGCCTGAGGTCTCCTGGCCTGATGCTGGGGTGGTGGGCGCAGCATAAGGTCTCCCAGCTAATACCGGGGGCACAGGGCGTGGTCTGAGGTGTCCCAGCCCTGTGCTGGGGCGAGGGTGCGGCCTGAGGTACCCTGTCAAGCCCCACCAGGTGAGGGGCATGGCTTGAGGTCCCTCGTCAGCTTCTCCCCACTCCCTCCCATCATCATGTCAGGGCTGAACTGGACGCACGGACGCAGGCAGTTTCTAGGTAGCTGGGGATGGAGGCAGGCAGCTTCACCTCAGGACTGAGTGGGGACGCATGCAGGCAGCCTGACCTTAGTGCTGGAGGAAGTCCCCGCTCCCATCCCTACCCACAGACTGGTGGTGACTGGGACACCATAATGGAAAAATTAGCATGTTACCTCTTTATATGTATAGATTTGGCCAGTGGGAATTTTTTCACTGGCTCCTGTGAACTTTTGTCATGTCCCCATCACTTTTTGGGTGTTTACTTACTTTTTGGAATGACAAGATACTTTAGGCCAGGGCTTGGAAAAAATTTTCTGTAAGTGGCCAGATAGTAAATATTTTTCGGTTTGTGGGCCATCTAGTCTCTGTGGCAACTACCGTATTTTTTGGACCATAAGACGCTCCGGACCATAAGACGCACCAGTTTTTAGAGAAGGGAAATGAAGAAAAAAAGATTCTGAAACAAATAGTGTCCTAAAATATTTTATGTGCATTAAAACCCAACATCACAGTCATAAACACATGTAATCAACCCTGTAAAGTAAACAGCAGCATTTAGAACCATTTTAGAGCCGGGCAAGCACACAGAGACCACACAGAGCCGGGCAAGTAAAAAAACTTTTTTTTTAAAGTATATGTGTAGGCTATATTTGGACCATAAGACGCAGGGACTTTTTCCCCCCCACTTCTGGGGGAAAAAAAGTGCATCTTATGGTCCGAAAAATACGGTACTTAACTCCACCCTCACAGCAGGAACACAGCCATAGACAATTTGTAAATGAATGACTGTGGCTGTGTTCCAATAAAACTTTATTTATAAGGAAAGGTGGCTGTTTGGATTTGTTTGGCCTGTGGGCTGTAGTTTGCCAACTCCCCTCTAGGCTCCTATTATACTTTCCTCAAGCCAGTCTCAGAATTGGCCATTTTTCTAAGAACCCTGGATCCTTTTTGCAGTGAATGGTATTTTGAAAGTGAGAACAAGCCTGGCTGGTGTGGCTTAATGGATTGCTTAAGCATTGTTCCATAAACCAAAAGGCCACTAGTTTGATTCCTGGTCAGGGCACATGCCTAGGTTGTGGGCTTGATCCCTGGGGGGTGGGGTGGGGGGACGGACACTCCAGGAGGTAGCCTAATGATGTTTCTATCTCTTCTTCTTTCTTCCTCTTAAAATCAATAAAAGCTTATTAAAAATGTTTTTAAAAAGTGAGATCTGGGTAGGCCAGTTGGTGTGGCTTAGTGGTTGAGTGTTGACCTATGGATCAAGAGGTCAGGGTTCGATGCCCAGTCAAGATATATGCCTGGATTGCAGGCTCAATCTCCAGTATGGGGTGTGCAGGAGGCAGCAGATCAGTGGTTCTCTCTCATCATTGATTTTCTCTCTCTCCCTCTGCCTTCCTCTCTGAAATCAATAAAAATATTTTTTAAAAAAAGTGAGATCTGGGTACTAGATATGCTCATTGCTACTGGGATATTGTTGATTCTAGACCCTCTTAGCAGACAGAGCTAGATAATATAAGAATATATACATATATACTTGTATACATTTGTGTGTGTGTGTAGACACATCTATATTTCTGTATATAGACCATCTATTTCTCTCCCTTTTTGCACTTTTTGACATTTCCTCTGTATCTCTTTAGATATTATTAACCATTGAGTGATAATGTTTTTTTTTTTTCTAGCAATGTATTAACCTTTATTTATTTATTTAATAAATTTTTATTGTTCATATTATTACAAATGTTCCTTCCCCCCCGTATTTCTGGGTAATGTCCATTTTATATTTTAGTTGTATTTTATTGAAATTTTGTGTGCGGCTGCGGCTAGGTGTTTACCTGGGCAGCCATCTTGGATTCGAATGATAATGATATGTTGGGGAGCAAGCACAAGAGACTTGGTTGGAAAGTTGTAAGGAGGACATTCTGATAAAAGGGAAGTGTGTGGAAGGCTACCTGCCAAAAGCGGAGCCCTTAATTATTCCTTGACTTTTCCAAACAAGTCTTTGTAAACCCCCAGTATTTACTGGTACCCTTAGTCCTTGGATGTCCTCCCTAAATTACTCACCCTACTGATTGTATCTAAAGATAAAAATCCCTCGGCCGAGACCAGTTTGGCTCAATGGATAGAGCGTCGGCTTGGGGACTGAAGGGTCCCGGGTTCAATTCCAGTCAGGGGCATGTACCTTGGTTGCGGGCAAATCCCCAGTAGGGGGTGTGCAAGAGGCAGCTGATCGATGACTCTCTCTCATCAATGTTTCTAACTCTCTCTCTCTCTCCTTTCCTCTCTGTACAAAATCAATAAAATATATTTTTAAAGATAAAAATTCCAGTAAAGGCCTACCTAACGTGGCAGGCAATAGAGGCTGCTCTGGCCACTAGAGCTGGGCAAGCCCCTTAGCCCTCTCTTTTAAAGTCAAACAGTATTTGAATAATCTGTTCATCCATCGTTCAGGGGCTGCTGGTCAACCTCGGCAAGGTGGTGCCCGTGTGAGGACCAAGGAACACAAGGAAGGAGGCGGAACCTTCAAAAACGAAGTAACTGCCCAGTAAGTCATTGGAGCCCGCTTGGGATTTCTAAGATAGAGGGAATTGTTTTTCAGCTAAGGTTTCCCAACAGGACAGTGACTGTCCACTGAGTAACATCTCTCTGTTACTCAAAAAGTGTTAAAAGCTAATGGTGCCTCAGTTATACAAGAATAATTAAGGAGCCTATTACAGATCATTATAATTTATAATTCTTGGTTCCCTGAGGATTTCCAAGTTTGAGGGGGTTGTTTTTTAGCCAAAGTTTCACTATGGGACAGAAGTTATTCATAGAAAAACAATATGTATCGATAACAGTGCTTAAGCAGTTGTTAAAGGTGAATGGTGCCTCGGTTACCAAGAAACAATTAAAAGGCCTTTTGTAGACTATTATAACTTACTATAATCCTTGATTCCTGATGCTGGAACATTAGACCTTGATCTTGGGAACAAGTAGGCGGGGATTTAAAGAGAAATCAGGCCCAGGTGTTGTGGCAAGCCCCTTAGCCCTTCTTTCACAGTCAAATTGTGTCTGAGTAATCAGTTCATACTGATCGATGACTCTCTCTCATCAATGTTTCTAACTCTCTATCTCTCTCCTTTCCTCTCTGTACAAAATCAATAAAATATATTTTTAAAGATAAAAATTCCAGTAAAGGCCTACCTAACGTGGCAGGCAATAGAGGCTGCTCTGGCCACTAGGTATAAAAACAAATCCCCTACTGGGGATTTGCCCGCAACCAAGGTACATGCCCCTGACCGGAATTGAACCCGGGACCCTTCAGTCCCCAAGCCGACGCTCTATCCATTGAGCCAAACTGGTCTCGGCCGAGGAATTTTTATCTTTAGATACAATCAGTAGGGTGAGTAATTTAGGGAGGACATCCAAGGACTAAGGGTACCAGTAAATACTGGGGGTTTACAAAGTCTTGTTTGGAAAAGTCAAGGGACTGCTGGTCAGCCCTGGCAATGACATCCCCAATTTCATTTCAAAACCACAAGCCTTTATTCTAGTTTTTACACTTTCTATATTTGTAATTTTTCTCACATTCACAAGTGTGACTCCTATTATCAAAAGTATATTTACTTATTTGTTGACTCTTAAAATATCCAGAAAGTAGATTTAGAATTGCTAACCCATTCCTCTGTAAAAAACTATTAATTTGAGTTTAATTTTTATTTCTTTTTTGTTTTTCTGTTCAAAAGTTATTTGGGTTGATTCTCTCCCATCTCTTTAGTATGTTGTGTTTTTCATTTTAAATATATTAGGATTGATATTAGGATTGTTTGTTTTTATTTGTATAGTTATTTTAGGCTATTTCCTCCATTTTTACTTTATTTTATGCTGATTTTTTTGATTATGTGAAACGTAAGCCTTTCTTTGGAAGTTATTTATTTATTTATTTCTTGTAACATCTGATTTTATTGCTTCTTTATTTCATTTCAGTGTCTGCCTGTATATCTTTATTAATTTCTTTGTTGTATTTTCTACTTTTTCCTCTTTGCATTTCCTAAAAGTTGCTCTAACCCAGATTTTGTCCTAGGCCCTCTTCTGTATAGTTTACCCTTTCTTGGCAATCTCATCTATTTTAGAAAACTTTGGAGTATCATCTTTATGCAGGGAGTAATTTATCTCTCTAAGCTATGCTCTAATTTCTAAGTATTTGGTGTAGAGCAGTGTTTCCCAAACTTCTCTCATGATGAGAATCACCTAGTGGAGTTGTTAAATACAGATTCCTGAATCCCAACTAAGAAGTGCTAAACTAGAATTTTTGGGAAGATATAGGTAAAATTGTATACTTAGTGCTCTGTCTTAGACTAAAAATTCTAGTTTAGCACTTCTTAGTTGGGATTCAGGAGTCTGAATTTAACAACTCCACCAGGTGATTCTCATCATGAGAGAAGTTTGGGAAACACTGGTGTAGAGGTTTAGGAAAAGGTATGCATTTCCATGTATAGAGTATGCATTTCCATATGGACCTCTATAATATCCCAAGTAGAATTCATCATCTTCTCTAACTTAGTGGTATTATCATTCTTCAATTTCCTTGTTTGAAATTTCACACAGGTGCCACTGCCTTGCTCTCATTCAGATCTGCCTGGTTGCCAAATGATGCCACTTGGTCCTGTGTGACATGTTAAAAGTCTCTTCATTGTCTGCCTGTACAACTCTAGTTCAGGCATTCCTTTTCTCCATTCTGTTCTAGTTCTTTCATAAGGTGCAGCTGCTGCTAGTTTTTCTCAACTGCAGATGAGTCCTGCACAGGTTAATTTTTCCTGAAACACACCTCTAATCTGTCTTCTCTCCTGCTCACTCATGCTTCAGAAATTCCCTACTGCTTCTGAAAAACTGGGCTGGTTTTCTAGACCTTCCAACTTGTTTTAATTTCCTTACCACTGCTTTCCTTCATATAGGCTGGACTGTATCCAAATGGAATTAGGGTTGCAAGAACCTGCCTGTATTTTTCTGTTTCTCTCTCTCCTTTGCCAGCAGTATGCTTTTATCACATTCTCAGTTATTCCTTAAATTTTTTCCTAAAGCTCTCTTTGATTTATTGGCCTGTAGATACCTTTTCTTTCTCATCAGAAGTACATTTAGCCATACTTAAAAAAAAAAAATTTAATGCTTTCACTTCCCAACTTGTATTGTTAGTTCAATATGATTTTTATAAATTAACATTTGTATCCCTTATTGTTCCTAGTACAGTACCTTGCAGAAGTGTTGGTTGAATGAATGAGTGGATGAATGCATTTCTGAATTGGACCATTAGATAGTCTGGTCTCCTGTATATGCCTTTCCACATAACTTGCTGGTTAGCTAAGACAGAGATTTTCAACCACTGTTCTGCGTCACACTGGCGTGCCACAAGAATTTTTAAAACCTGACTATTGCAATACCTGTCTATTTAGTCAGAGACACTCACCCCTTTTCCCTTAGATTGTTAAATAAAAAATGACAACAGCCAATATAACAATAGCCGTCTGCTGTGAATAAATCAAAATTATATATATTTTTTGTCATATAGGCAAAAATATATATATTTTTGTGTGCCACAGGATTTTAGTAATTAGTTTATGTGTACCATGAGATGAGAATAGTTGAAAATTTTTTATCTAAGACAATCTATTTCTCTCACTTTTTGTACTTTTTGACATTATCTCTTTATCTCTTCATGTATGAATAAATGGCCTATTACCTTTTGTATCTGTTGCTTCTCTTCTGCTGAGTTATATTGATTTCATTTTAGAGAAAAATTACATCATTTTGGTAAAGGATGTTTGTGGGAAATTTAGAGGAAATGGAAGCTAGTATTTAGAATGACATCTTGATCCATTTTATGGGAAAGCATAAAGGCTGCTTACCAGGATTTTGGAAATTTGCAAGTATAGGCTTAAATCCTGGGCTGGTGGCCAGCAGAGAATAGAAAGTAGACATTGTGATGACATGTTCAGGTGGAAGGTCAGGGGGCCAGCTGCAGGGTCCCATATTCCAGTCCTCTGATTCAGGCAGCTGATTTCTATTTCTTAGAAACAGCTGCCTGAGCTTCTGGTCAGATGACTGGTTTGAAGTGATGGCAGGTAGGAATAGGGAAATAGATGCTTAACTACAATATTTCTATTTTTTTAAACCATCTAGGGTTCCCTGCATAGTTTTGTGGCAGTGAGTTAGATTTTGTTGATGAATTCTAAGGAATTGAGTACTTGGTTTCATAGAGGAACTTCATTTTGTCCAAGGTTAATCTTAGTCAATACTACGTCTCTTGACTAAGTTTACTTTTTCAAAATTGCTTTCCCTCATGCTCTTATGCATTTCACAAGCTAAATAGAACTGCACAACTCCTTAACTTCTACCTCATTGTTCCATTTGTGGAAGTTCTTAGTTGGAGTGGTCCAAATAACAAGCTAGTGATAACTGTGAAGTTGAAGGCCTTGAAAAGAAACTCAGGATAGAGGGTGTGCTTGATTAACTGCCCAGGACAAAGTGATGCCAGGACCCTGGAAGAGCACCACCCTGCCTTTGCCATCCAAGTACTAAATTTCCAAGAGCACAGAAGAGGCTACCAATTAATTGCTCTGTAATCACCCATTTTTTTTTGGTTTCAGCTTGTAACAGCTAAACTGCTAAAGGCAGGAAGAACTCTGAACCTGAGCAGTGGAGGCCCGTCTGGATCTAGAGAAAAGAGGCAACTTTGGAACCAGTAATGAGTTATCCTGACGGCAGGCTGAACCTGGGGACCCTCAAAGGTAGCAAAAGGAAAATGGAGTCTACTCTAGCAACCAGAGATCTGAAATACAAATGGAAAGGAGGCGCTGGGCGGGTCTTGGGATCGAGGGGGCCTATAATTCTTTTGATGACTTGTTAAATATGCTCCTGTGTTATTTGTTTTAGAATTATTATTTCTTGTTGTCTTAAATTGTTGTTATTTGAACACAGCTATTTAATTTCCTCCTGAAAAATGGCAATCTTTTAATAATTTCTATTTTTAAAAAGATTGTGTCTATAAACAAAGCGTACTGAACCCATTATTCAGATTATATTCCATGCATATGTGGTATTGTTTTAAAACTCAAGTCTCATCTGTATATATTTTACTCATGTTTTCTTACCTATTCTTTCACTCTTGTGACTATTTGAAATCTTTATCAGGGAGTTTCATTTTCTTTTTTAAAATTTATTTAAGTATTTTTTAAAAATTTATTATTATTTTTTAAAATATATTTTATTGATTTTTCACAGAGAGGAAGAGAGAGGGATAGAGAGTTAGAAACATCGATAAGAGAGAATCATCGATCAGCTGCCTCTTGCACACCCTCCACCAGGGATGTGCCCGCAACCAAGGTACATGCTCTTGCCCGGAATCGAACCCGGGACCTTTCAGTCTGCAGGCTGACGCTCTTATCCACTGAGCCAAACTGGTTCCGGCTATTTAAGTATTTAAAAAAATATATATTTTTATTGATTTCAGAGAAGAAGGGAGTGGGAGAGAGAGATAGAAATATCAATGATGAGAGAGGATTATTGATCAGCTGCCTCCTGCATGCCCCACACTGGGATCAAGCCGGTAACCCAGGGATGTGTCTGACCAGAAACTGAACCATGACCTCCTGATTCATAGGTTGATGCTCAACCACTGAGCCATGCTGCCTGAGCAGGGAGTTTCATTTTCATGTTGGTCATTCAAAAAAAAAAAAAAAAATCTCTAGTTTTAAAAATACAGTGATATTTGATTGAGGAAAGTTAATTACTGCCTCATGTTTCTAGGTGTGTCCTCTGTGGTTGGCCCACATGGTGTTGGTGCTTCGCCAAATGACAAAAAGTCAAAGAACAAGTTCATACGAGGGAAGAAAAAGAGCATATTTGAAAATTACATGTCCAAGGAGGATGTTTCGGAAGGCTTGAAGAGAGGAACACTTATCCAGGTGCTTAAATCATACTAGAAGGCTATTCCTTGAATATGTGGAATCAGTAAAGTGTTTATTTTTCTGTGCTGTGTGCTTTGAAAGAAATGATGACATAACAGGAACAGGGCTTCCTACTTCTTAGAACTATAGTGCAATTAGATGTATTAGGTGCCCCAACACAGAGACAGCATAGTGCTCTGAGGTTTCAGAGATGGGAGCTGTTACTTCCAGTTAAGGTTATCCAAGAATGTTGTATTGGAAGTGATATATATGTACCTTTTTTTCCAAGGCAGTTGTATAACTGTATTCAACCATCAGCATTAGTTCTCGTCCACATTAACGGTCTGGAGATTTTTGAAGGTGGTGACAGGCACGTAGGTGACCAGTATATACAGCTTGTTTGGTGAGTCTTCATCCTCATTACATTTTCTGGACAAATGTACCCGTATATGATATGGGACATTCCTTATTCCTTTGGCCCAGATAGGTTTGTTGAACTTGGTGTCCATGCACACGTCTGGGGTCTCCATCTCCTTCATGGCAAATTTTCAGATCTTCTTGAGTGCTTGAGGGTTAAACTTCTTGAAATCCATGCCGTGGGTGCACCTGTGGATGTTGATGGTGTGCTTCCTGGTCAACACCTTGTTGAGGGTGAAGCGGCCCTTCTTCTCACCACCATTCTTTGCGGGAGCCATCGTGCCAGGCAAATTGGAAAGAGCGTGGGATATTGTCTGGAAGTGATATTTTTGATCCAGGCCATAGATTGGTACTATTTGAATAAGTAAAGATAAGAGAATGAGCTTCATAAATGTAGGGACAAGTGTAAGCTACTCAGACAAAAGTGGAAAATAGGTTTTGGCTGTAAGAAGCATTGATAGTTCAGTTTGCCTTGAGCACATGAAAGTTGAGTGCTGGAGAGTAAGGTTGAAAGGAAACAGTAAACAGCAGCAGACAATATTTGTTGAGTGCTTTATAGTTTATAAAGTACTTTTACAAGTATAATGGTTTGGCTCAGCAAATGTTTAGCTCTTATAATTAAGAGCATGTATAATACATGGGTGCTCTTGAAATGAAGGTGGGTGAGGCTGCCTTTGTGTACTTTGAGCTGGCAGCCCAGTGTGGGGCAGGCGGTCATATGAATAGATGATTTGGGTATAGATGGTAAGTGCTCAGATAAAGTGTGACCCGGGGTATGGGAGAGTGGTTGGCGGAAATTGGCAAACGGGATGGTGACATCTGCTGTGGATATTGGAAGATGACTAGTTTAGATCTATTTTTTAAAAATATGTCTTTATTGATTTTTAGAGAGAGGGGAAGGAAGAGGGAGTGACAGAAACATAGATCAGAGAGAAACATCAACTGGTTGCCTCCTGCATGTCCCTACTGGGGTGGAGCCTGCAACCCAGGCATGTGTCGTGGCTGGGAATTGAACTGGGGACCTCTTGGTTCATGGATCAATGCTCAACCACTGAGCCACACCAGCTGGACTGGTTTGGATCTACTAAATGAGTGATATGTGTGTGGGAAGAGTAGTGGCACTAATGAAAACATGAACTTTTGAAACAGTATGGAATAGGGTAGCTTAGGTCTTCTTAGCCATGAAATGGGAGTGATTTGGGTTGATATCTGGGTTCTCGATTCTATTCCATTGATCTATATGTCTGTTCTTGTGCCAGTACCAGGCTGTTTTGAGAACAGTTTTTCCACTATCTTAATGTCATTGTGCTCAACCTTTAAGTCCCTATCTAAATATCATCCCCTTTGAGCCGAAACCGGTTTGGCTCAGCGGTAGAGCGTTGGCCTGCGGACTGAAGGGTCCCAGGTTCGATTTCGGTCAAGGGCATGTACATTGGTTGCGGGCACATCCCCAGTAGAGGGTGTGCAAGAGGCAGTTGGTCGATGTTTCTTTCTCATCGACGTTTCTAGCTCTCTATCTCTCTCCCTTCCTCTCTGTAAGAAAAATCAATAAAATGTATTTAAATATCACCCCCTTTGAGAGGCCTGACTTAAAATCTCCACAGAATTAAGCCTTTACCACTTTCCTGAAGCCAACTTCTTAGTTTACCCTTTATTTTAATCCTGTTACAATTTCATGTTTCCTCATATATAATAGATTGTTAACTCCTTGTGTGCAGGGTCATCATGTCTTATTCCCACCTAGCTGGCATTTGATTGAAGCTTAATAAGTTTATATTGAATAATCATTTTACTCACTGAATAAAGAATCAAGGTACTTAATAAAGAGTGAGGGGAATCTTGGTTGTTATAACTTGAAAGAAAAATTGATTATAATTTTGGATATAGGATTTACACAGCTAATGTGAGGGAAATATTCTGCAATTGTATTCATTTTTCCTCCCTCCTATTAATTTTTTCTTTTGAAGTAATTCTTTGCTGATAGTAAAGTAAAACACCAAAAACCTGATAAGTATAACAACTCTCATTTCCAGGCATTTTTAAGTGATTCCTCCTGGCCTGTGACATCAATAGACTCTAGCCAGAGCCTCCCCACAACAGATGAGAACAGTTGTTCTCTGCAGATGGGGAAAGAAATGGGTTCCAGATATGAGGTCACTGTGTGAAATATACAACAACTGTAAATAATATTTTCATAGGCAAAAAAACAGAGTCCATCTGCTTTCTGATATGAACTTTATGTGTGCAGGCTTTGATGGGTAAGGTAGAGAGCTAGACAATATCAACAATTTGGGTTGATATCTGGGTTCTCGATTCTATTCCATTGATCTATATGTCTGTTCTTGTGCCAGTACCAGGCTGTTTTGAGAACAGTTTTTCCACTATCTTAATGTCATTGTGCTCAACCTTTAAGTCCCTATCTAACCTTTAAGTCCCTATCTAAATATCACCCCCTTTGAGCCGAAACCGGTTTGGCTCAGCGGTTTCGGCTCAAAGGGGGTGATGTTTAGATAGGGACTTAAAGAGCACACATAAAGAGCTTTTTGAGTGTTGTTGGAGAAAATACACTTACTAGACATACTTATTAAGCATGTAACTTTTGTATTCAAATATAAGTATACTGTTACATCCTTGCTCTTTCCTCCACCCAGAGGAGCAATTTTTAATGAGATACTGAGATATTTTAAAATAGGATAGGGTAATAGTTTTTGTTTCCTTTTAATACTTTGATATTTTGGCATTTCATTGGTATCAAATTACCGTCCACAGTGACCAAGAAATCTCTTTCCTGTGTTTGAACTGACTAGCAGTAACTCATGATCATGTACATGTAGTTTGGAAAAATTTTTTTGTAACAAATCATTATATCAAAGAACATGTGTCCTTTATTCCTCTGTAGGTACAATGTTGTGATGTTGTTCTAGGAGATGTTGGGAGAAATTGAGAGCATGGAATAGACAGTCTTGGAAGGGGCTCAGGTTTGGAATAATGATCAAAATGACATGGATCGAAAGATGGTAGAATTGGTTGGTTTCATAATCCCAGATATTGCTTTGTCTAAAGGTGGTTTAAGCTGGACCACCAGAGCTGCCCAAGACATGATGTCAGAGTTCCCCCTATAATAAAATATTGGTGTAAAACTGTTATTGAACCTCAAAAGAAATCCTAGTTCAGGAAGACAGGACAGGATAATCTAGTTCCTAGGACCATCACCATTTGTTAGGAGTGAAATCAGCTGGAGAACATTTGGGTATGAGTTAAACAGAAGAATAAAAGTGACATTACAGTGGATTGTTCAGTCTTTTAGAAGGAACAGATGACATTCTTAACATTATTATTAGGGGTGGTGGGAGAGCTTCAACTCTGCAGCCAATTAATTAGCTTAACAAATGTTTCTTGACTTCCTACTAAGTGCCAAACATATAATAGAGAGGCAATTCACTGGGGAGAGAGGCAAAAGCAACTAAATAAAGAGGAAATTATACCTGACAGAAGTGTTGAAACTACCTCTAAGGAGGTAGTAATCTCTTAGTTGAGATCTGATTGGTGAGAATGAGCCAGACATTTGAAGAAATAGGAGAACATTATAGGCAGAGAGAACAGCTAGTGGAAGAATAGCAAGCAGATAAAGGCTTGGTGTTTTTGAGGACTAAGGAAGAAACCTATTGGACATGATAAGGGGTGATATTTAAATATTTTTTTAAAAGTGTATATTAGTATTAATTTTTTTTCAGAGAGGAAGGGAGAGAGAGAGGGAGCTAGAAATGTCGATGAGAGAGAAACATCGACCAGCTGCCTCTTGCACACCCCCTACCGGGGATGTGCCCGCAACCAACGTACATGCCCTTGACCGGAATTGAACCTGTGACCTTTCAGTCCGCAGACCGACGCTCTACCGCTGAGCCAAACCACTTTCAGCAAGGGGGTGATATTTAGATAGGGCCTTAAAGGTCAAGCACAATGACATCAAGATAGTGGAAGAAAGTACTCCAAGCACCAGGAACAGCATGTACAGAGAAATAGAAGAATCATGTGAGAATAAGTTGGAGAGTTAGGCAGCTGCCAAATCATGTAAGGTCTCTGGACTGTGTCGGAGAGTTGGATTTAATTTAAAGAATGATGAGAAGGGAGATGCCACTCAAGTGTATTAAGCAGGGGAAGCACATGATCTGTTTTATGCTTTAAAAATATCTCCCTGGCAGTTGTAAGACAATAGTCTAGAGTGGAAGCTGGAGACGATGTAGAAGGCCATCAGAGTACATCTGGCAAGAAAATATGGAGACATGAACAAGATGGGTGTCAGTGAAGGTAGAGAGAAGTGGATAGATGTGGAGCTAGAACTGGCATACTATTATACATAATAAAAGAGTAATATGCAAATTAACCATCACTCTGCTACGCCCACCAGCCACTCCCACAAGCCACACCCACCAGCCAATCAGAGCGAGTATGTAAATAAACCTAACCAAGATGGCTGTAGCCAGAGAGAGCAAGAGGGAGGCTTGGGTTTCCCAGGCAATGGAGGAAGCCAACCTTTCCGCCTGCCCTTGCCAGCCTAAGCCTCTACTCAAGGCTACAAAGTTTCAATTATAGAAGGTAAACAAATCCAAACAGAAATGGCTGCTGGCCACGGAGCGAGGCTTGGCTCTGTTCCAGACTACAGAGTTTCAATGTAGAAGGTAAATAAATTCCAGATACCTGGGCCTCTACTTGGGATGCCAGTGGGCATGACTGGCCTGCAAACCACCACAGGCCCCTTCACTCAGGCCACCCTACGCCCCAAGGGAACCCCCACCCTGATCTGGGACACACTTCAGGGCAAACCAGTTGGCCCCCACTCATGTACCAGGCCTCTATCTTATCTAATAAAAGAGTAATATGCAGATTAACCATCACTCCACACAATATGGCTGCCCTCATGTGGTCAAAGATCCTGCCCCTGTGTGGCCACAAGATGGCCACCACAAGATGGCCAGCAGGGGAGGGCAGTTGGGAGGCATTAGGCCTGCATGGGAGGGCAGTAGAGAGGGACCAGGCCTGAAAGGGAGGGCAGTTGGATGCTATCAACCTAGCAGGGGAGGGCAGTTAGGGTTGACCAGGCTGGCAGAGGAGGGAAGTTGGGGGCAAACAGGCTGGCAGGGGAGCAGTTAGACATCAATCAGGCTGGCAGGGGAGTGGTTAGGGGGTGATCAGGCTGGCAGGCAGAAGCGGTTAGGGGCAATCAGGAAGCAGACAGGCAAGCATTTGGGAGCCAGCAGTCCTGGATTGTGAGAGGGATGTCGGACTGCCCGTGTAGGTCCTATCCTACCAGGCAGTTGGACATCCCTCAAAAGGCCCATATTGGAGAGGGTGCAGGCTGGGCTGAGGGACATCCCCTTGCCCCCATATACGAATTTCGTGCACTGGGCCTCTAATGTCATCATAATGGACTAAATGTGAGGCAAAAGGAGGAGTAAAGGATGGTTCCTAAGTGTTTGAGTCAAGAAACTGGATGGATGATGTTGTCATTCCCCAAGATTGGAAAGACTGAGGGTTGGAATATAGTTCGGTTTTTCTGTGGGAAGGGAGCAGATGGCCTAAGTGTGAGCAAAGAGGCCCTGGGGCTGAGTATGGCAAACAGAAGCAGTCTGCAGTAGTCTGTAGCAAGGTCTCTGGAACCAGACTGCTTGGGATAGAATGTTGTGTGAAAGTGGGCACCACTTAGTGTCTCAGTTTTCTGATTTATAAAAAAGAGGATAATAGTACCTACCATCTATGGTTGCTTTGAGAGTTAAATTAGTTGAATAGATATAAAGCTGTAAAAACTGTGTGACACATAATATATTGGTATAAGTGTTACTTGTGATTGTTTTTATTGCTATCAGAGAAGCATCTGCTATCCAACTTAGGTGGCTGTTGCTGGATGGGGATAGCTGATGTTTCAACAAAATCTGGAAATATATATATTTATATGTGAAATTCCTCAGTTTTGAATATTCTCAAATATCCTGTAAGCCACGTAACACATATTTGTGATTGCCAAGTTAGGCTACTTGGTCCAGTTGTGTTTTTCTTTTTTTCTCTATAGTAACATTCAGCTCCTTAGGCTTAGTCATAGAGAAGGCAGATAGTTGGAGACAACTGGGAGTGAGGTTTTGCTGGTTACATGTAAGAGGAAGAGTGGACTTAAGGTTTGCAAGGGCAGGAGGTAATGTCAAACCATGGCAATTAGTAGCCAAGAAAGGGAGTAAGCATAGTGTGAAGATGATGAATGGTCAAAGTGTGGTCAAGTTCATGGGTTGGAGTTCTTAGTGAAGACGAAGAATTGTTGAAGTGGTGTTTCTACCATAAGTGAGCTGGAAGGCCAGGGGATTTTAATTAGAAAGTATGATATTTGATTTTTGTGTTTAGTGGTGTTATAATTAGCAATTATGACAAGACATGGGGTGTAAACATGGGAGAAAGTGGCTAGAGTTGGGTGGAAGAGAAGGTGGCTAGAATGACTGGTTAGGGTTGCCTGGTTATCAATATGGATGTGAAGTCCCATTAAATGTTTATAGGATTGGGAGTGAGCTACAAGTTAAAGCTTTCGTGAATCAGGGATATGATCAGGTTTGAAGATGATAGTAGGAGCTATAACAGGAGCTAATGGAATGAACTTCAAAGCATCTGTGGGGTTTGGAAGAGAACAGGGATGGCCAGATTTCAATTAAGTCAAGGAGGTGCCTCAGCTGTAAGTGAGCTATACCCTCATAGCATTCATGCTTTATTTTTAAAAATTATTTATTGTTGAAAGTATTACATATGTCTCCTTTTCCCCCCATTTACCTTTCTCCGGCCCCCAGCACAAGGCCCCACCCCCTTATTGTCTGTGTCCAGAGACATAGAAACATCAAACAGACCTTCAAACCTCAGAGGGAAGGCAGGGAAGGAGGTGGGGGTAAGAGATCAACCAAAGGACTTGTATTCATGCATATGAGCATGACCAATGCTTTACTTTAAATAGGGCCGAGCTTGGTCATTACTCTCTCTCCCATATTATCTATCTCAGGATTTTGAATATAGTCAGAATTCAAGAAATAATTATTGAACTAAGGACTGAATGAACATTTGTAGTAGTCGTATTGGGATGTTAATGGTAGTATAAACTGTTGCATGGAAATTTGTAATTTAAACATGGTGGGCCAGTGAAAGAAAGAATTATGTTCAGCTTTATTTTATGCCCTCACCTGTGATGTTAATTATGCATCTTTGAGTCTTTTGACAATTTAGGGGGAAATGTTATTTAAAATGCTTTCTCAAGACACTCCTTGAATCTGGCTCTTAGCAAAATAATTGCCTCCCTCCATGTGTTCCAGTGGCCTTCAGATGCAGCTGGGACGTGGGGAGGATTGCAGCTTCCTGCAAAAGCCTAAAATACTGAACTGGTATTGAGCACAGCCCCCACCTGCACTCTGTGCATAAATAGAAGCAGACCCTGATTTGGTGCTGGAATAACATGAAGCTGAAGGCAGACTGGGTGGCCTGGCTATTGGAGCCAGGATCCTCATTTACATTAAGAGCTGGTTCTGGACCACTTTGAATTATTGACTCATTCTGCTCTGCAGAGGGGCTAGAGTAAAAAATTATGCATCTAATCCCTTGAGGCTAAGTATCCAGGTTGGAAATCAATCTGTATTACTTTGAAAATTATCACAGAAACAAGCAATTGTGGAAAGGCCTTAGAGAATTAAAAAGGCCATTATATAGTGAAGTATAAATTCCCTGATCACCTTGTTCCTAAAATATAAGTTTGAATTTGAAGGCCAGCATTCAGGGGCATATACAATCCCAATAGCTGGCACTTTCCCACTCCACTCCAGGCTCTGTTACTTCTTACCTCTACCTGTTCACAGCAAGGTGCCAGTGTGAGCTTTCAGTGTTTGATGGAACCCTATGTTACAAGTATCAATATAAATCATGTTTCATGCATTTAATGATCAATTCTCACAATCTAACTTGTTTTCTAGATCAAACTATTTAATTTAAAACTTTTTATTGCAGAATAACATAAGTATAGAAAAATTATACATGTATAACTAGTTAAAGTTTCATATATTTTTAATTTTATTTTAAAGGGTGTATTGAGAATTAATCCAAAGAAGTTTCATGAAGCCTTCATTCCTTCCCCGGTAAGTACAATAATTTTATAATAAACTTAATGTCACATTTAATTTTTAGGTGTGCTCTCAAACTGAAATAATATGTTCTTACTAAAAAGCAGAGTAGTAAAACAAAATTGAGGATGGGCAAGGATTTGTTTCAAATTTAAATAAACAAAATTTGCTTTTGGTTAGCAACCCTTTCTGCCAGTCTTAAAATCACACTTCAAGTGAAAAGGGTGGCATTTGTTACTAGGCTGCAGAGCAGCTGAACCCACCCAGACACCCACCAGTTCATGTAATTGGATGCCCTTGGTTTATAGCTTAAAAGGATTTATGGTTTTCCAGTGATTTATGTTAATCTTTCCTAAACAAATATGCTATCTACTTTCGATCTACTGCATGAGCTAATCTGCAAATTTGTCCAAAAATAATGTGTAATGCTTTTTTTTGGGGGGGGGGGTGTGTGTGTCAGTTTCTCACATCCGGTGATAGGACTTGGTACAAGGCTTTTTACCATTGGATCTTTATACCCTTCCTTATGTTCATGATTCATTTTAACAGGCTCTTTTCCATTAAAGAAAGCCCACTCTGGCATTTTGTTAGCAACAGGCCTCTGAATAAGACTTGATTGTACAAAGCTGGGAGAGCAATGTTCTTAAATTCCTGACCTAACTTTTCTAGGACACTATAAATAGGATAGCAGTAGAATTATAGATTTTTCAAGACAGTAGTTACCATAGAAATAAACTTTTGCTTATAGTTGAGGAAATTGTTCCACTCTTTGGTTGATTTACATATTAGGGTTTTATTATATAGGATGCCAGTTAACATCATATATAAAAAAAAACCCTAAGCAACAGGTTTACAGTTCAACCAGTCAACTTTTTGACTGGTTGCTATGACATGCACTGACCACCAGGGGCCAGATGCTCAACATAAGAGCTGCCCTCTGGTGGTGAGTGTGCTTCCGCAGTGGGAGTGCAGCTGTGGTGGTATGAACCTCTCCCACCTCTGTGGCAGTGTTACTGGGTGGCAGCAGGCTCAGTAGGAGTGGTGTGATGTCTGGGCTCAGTCTCGGGCTCCTCCCTGGCTGCCTGCCACTTCTTGCACTACTATATCCCTTAGGGGATGTTGGGCTGCCAATTTTGACCCCATCCCCAAAACTGGTAGTCCGCCATCCCGTGATGGTGTCCCAGATTGTGAGAGGATGCAGGCCAGGCTGAGCGACCTGACTGGTGCATGAATCCATGCACTAGGCATCTAGTAGCCTATCTAATAAAAAAATAATATGCAAATTGACCATACCTCTGTTACACCCACAAGCCATGCCCACCATCCAATCAGGAACAAGTATGCAAATTAACCCAACCAAGATGGCTATGGCCATGAAGCAAGCAGGAGGCTTGGGTTTCCCTGGCAATGGAGAAAGCCAAGCTTCCTGCACACCCTGGCTGGCCCAGGCCTCTGCTCAAGGCCACAAAGTTTCAATTATAGAAGATAAATAAATCCCAGATCCCAGAGCCTCTGCTTGGGCCGGCAGGGGGCATGGCCAACCTGCAAACCACCACAGGCCCCTCGCCCAGGCCACCCCATGCCCCAAGGTAACCCCCATCTTGATCCAGGATACACTTTAGGGCAAACCAGCTGGCCCCCACCCATGCACCAGGCCTCTAGCCTATCTAATCAAAGAGTATAATAATATGAAAATTGATCATTACTCCAACACAAAAGATGGCTGCCCCCATGTGGACACAAGATGGCCACCACAAAATGGCCAGCAGGGAAGGGCAGTTAGGGGCAAACAGGCTGCCAGGGGAGTAATTAGGCATCAATCAGGCTGGCAGGAGAGTGGTTAGGGGGTGATCAGGCTGGCAGGCAGAAGTGGTTAGGGGCAATCAGGAAGGCAGGCAGGCGAGCAGTTGGGAGCCAGCAGTCCCACAGGTGGGAATACAAGTTTAGTCATATACTTCATAGTTATTATTGTTATTAACCTTAAGACCTGGTCTCAAGCTCAGTTTAGTTCTTTTATTCCCTTCTCCAGAAGCCAGGAATTCACATTTATTTCTCAAGTTTAGGTTTTACCCATTGGATTATATAAAAAGTATTACTAACATAAACAACAAGTGTTGGTGAGGATGTGGAGTAAAGGTAACCCTTGTGTACTGATGGTGGGATTGTAAATTGATGCAGCCACTATAGAAAACAGCTATGGAGGTTCCTCAAAAAATTAAAAATAGAACCACCATATAACCCAGCAATTCCACTTCTGGGTATTTATCTGAAGCACTAATTTGAAAAGATTTATGCACCTTTATGTTCATTGCACCATTATTTTCAATAGCCAAGATATGGAAGCAACCTAAGTGTCCATCAGTAGCTGAGTGGATAAAGAAGATGTGGTACATATATACAATGGAATATTACTCAGCCATAAAAAAGAATGAAATTTTGCTATTTGCAACAACATGGATGGACCTAAAGGGAAATAAATCAGAGAAAGACAAATAACCTATGATTTCACTTATATATAGAATCTAAAAAATGAAATAAACAAACAAAACAGAAACAAACTCTTAAATACATAGAACAAGTGGATGGTTGCCAGATGGGAGGGGGTTGGGCAGCTGGGTGAAAAGTGTGAAGGGTAAGAGAAGTATAAATTGGTAGTTACAGAATAGTCATGGGGATGTAAAGTACAGCACAGGGAATATAGTCAGAAAGTCATAATAACTTAGGTCTGGTGCATGGATGGTAGATTTAGAGCACATTGAGATAGTAACTTATACCCCCCTATGAATCTGGATTCAAAAGTAGAATTCTCAGATTCTTTGGAGCTGTCTACTGAAATATGGCTGCCTGGAGAGGGTCCACCTTTGGCCTGCTCCTCTTCCCTTCCCAGTTCTATCTTCCTATCCACTGTTTGCTACCTACCCCCAGTCAGGAAGGGTCTCTGCATGCACCTTGTGGACATCTTATCCTACACTAGAGGCCCAGTGCACAAAATTTGTGCACTGGGGGCAGGTCCCTCAGCTTGGCCTGTGCCCTCTTGTAGTCCAGGAGCCCTCGGGGGATGACAGCTTAGTGGGCTTAAGCCATCAGTCGGACATCGTTAGCATTGCCATGAAGGTGGGAGAGGCTTCTACCACTGCCGCTGTGCTCATCAGCTGTGAGCCTGGCTTCTGGCTGAGAAGCCCAGCTCCTGCATTGAATGTCTGCCCCCTGGTGGTCAGTGTGCATCATAGTGATCCGTCATTCCACCATTCGGTCATTTGCATATTAGCCTTTTATTATGTAGGACACACTGCAGATGAGGCCCCCTAGAACCATAAGAAATGCAAAAAATTCAGTTAACTCAATTCTCAAATTGCCCCCACTTAAAATCACCCCCCCCCACAACCCCCCATGGGGTATGTGCTGCACCTTGGGCACCACTGGGTTTGACACTTTTCCTCTCTGAGCTTCATTTCTGAATATATCCGCATATACCATGGAATTGTAATCTCTTCTCCACCTACCTCACTGGGTTGTCATGAGGAGGTTCTGAGCTAATAAAACTAGAAATGTTTCTTCAAGTAAGTGATGTCTAAACGGGAAGTGATTGTTATTTTTAAGCCCACAGGTAGCAGATGCTGATTAGGGGAGGAGGGCATGATTGCTTCCTGGGACTGTTACTATGGAAGCTTTGCCGAAGGTTGCATAGGTTTCAGAGGGGCAGGCTCTGGCCAGCAGCCCTGCAGTGGTGGTCATCCCTGGAGGTGCTGGTGGGGGACTGGGTGTTAGGGGGGTGCTAGGGGGCAGTGAGGCCTAATGGGTACTAACTGTCAAACCTTCCTGCTTGGTGCCATTCTTCAAATTGTACATGGATGTTTCTCAGCTGTACCTGCTCCAATCTCCTGGAGCGGGGTGGGGGCTGGACCAGGGCGGAGCCAGGTGGGCTAGGAGGGCAGGTTTAGCTGCGCCCCCAGCAAGGTTCAGCACGCTTCTGCTGTGGAGATGGCACTGCTCCAGGAGAAAGGGTCTGACCCTGGGGGGCCACTCAGGCCTACCTCCACCCGGGTCTGGAATTGTAGGGAGGAGAATCATGCCCAGCCCCAGGCCCTGGGTGCCTCTTTGGTGCTGACAGGTGGTCACCGGCATGCTATTGTTGTGGGTGCCCCTGGCAGGGGAAGAGATTGGGAGTAGGAAGTGCGGCCTGCAGCTACCCCCAAGGTTGGGTCTTCTCCCTGACTGCTCAGCCTCCCTGTCCCCCTGGGGATACGGGGGGCTGGGGTAGGGTGTCTGTCAATCCCCCTGGGGGTACAGGGGCTGAAGTAGGGTGTCTGTACAGGGGGATTGGAAGAGCTCCCATGGCCGCTTCCTCTTCCTTCATTGCAGTCGGGGCTCCTGTCAGGCACTCTCCTCAGACCTTCCCCCCCCCCCCCCCCCCCATCAACTTGGCTCCTGCTGCCCGTTCCCTGCTGTGTGCAGAGTCTCCTGCTGGTCTGCTGGTCTGTCAGTATGCAAATTAGTTGTTACTGGGACACCGTAATGGACAATTAGCATATTATTTCTTTGTATGTATAAATGTCCAATCTCTACGTAACTCATAGAAATTTCTACCCTTTAGCCAAATCCAGGGGTGCCACCTATGATGTGGTCTGCCTTCAGGAAGACAGACTTGGGAAATATGTCTATATATGCTCTGGAAGTGAGCTTGGGGTTGAGTATAAATGGGGATACACATCCAATTGGCCCTGAAGGGTGGGGTGTCTCAGGGGAGGAGAGCTAGAGATTTAGGAGAGGGAGGTAGAAGCAATAAATTACATGTGGAGAAATTTCATCACTGCTCTGGATTTCTGAGTACATATACACAGCCCATGTTCATGTCAAGTACAAACTTTTATGAACTAAAACAATGCTCAAAGGTTGACTAAGAGGTGGTGTCAGAAACGTCAGAGAACATTACTGTACTCTGCTTTAGTAAGGAGGATAAAGACAATACTTGGTATTAAAAAAGATGTAGCATCCTTCTCTGACAATAAGAAATAGTTTCCTTATTTGTAAAATGAAGAGGTGTATTAAATATTGTCTAATGTTCCTCCCAACCTTAAAATTCCAAAGTTTTTAGAGAGTTGCAAATAGACTAGAGTTGATGAAATTATGTAGGTTAATCCTTTCTGACTAAAGAAAGTTATGAACTTAAACAATGTCATTTGCTATGTTCAAATACCTACTTAACTCACTAGGCTAGGAACAGTTAATTGAACATCAGGTTAAAAAAGTACTTTGTTTTGGAGGAACTTGACTTAGATTCATTATAATTTCTATTTATGGAAAGTCGATTTTCATTTTCTTATGACAAACCCAAAATATATGGGATAAATCACTTTTATGTGTAACTGTCAGTCTCCTGGGGTTCTGAATAAAATTAAGAAATAGAGTTAGAATAAGACCATGTGATTTTAAGCACACCAAAATGATTTTATATTATTGATATGCCTTTTTATCCTATTTGGGCATAAGATAAATGAAGAAATGGATATGATGTAAAAACTTACAAAAAGCACTTTCCATTCAGAGTTATGTTGATATAAGATGTTTTGTAACTTTTTGGTTCATCTTGTCATGGTAGGCACTCTATATATCTGTGCAATTTATTTTTGGTCCAGAGTAGCTATTCCATTGATGGAGGATGCTCTGATCATCTTGGCATACTTATCCTCCCCTCTATAGCCTTCTATATATTTAGATGAACCCCACATTCCTGTTTATTTTCTCTAGGATTGTTCATTAACCATTTTTCTCCCCCCCCCCCCCCCTATTCTTTCTGATGGGTAAAACAAGTCTTGGCATTCAAATAAAGGAATGAACTCCCCCCCCCGCCCCCCATTTTATTTTATTTATTTTTTAAAAATATATTTTATTGATATTTCACAGAGAGGAAGGGAGAGGGATAGAGAGTTAGAAACATTGATGAGAGAGAAACATCGACCAGCTGCCCCCTGCACACCCGCTACTGGAAATGTGCCCACAACCAATGTACATTCCCTTGACCGGAATCAAACCCGGGACCTTTCAGTCCGCAGGCCGATGCTCTATCCACTGAGCCAAACCGGTTTCGGCCCCCGCCCCCCCGCAAAGAAGGCAGATTGTCACAATTAGTGCCTTAATTTGGATGTGTCTGGAGTCTTGGAAGCTTGACTATCCTATGTTCTCCTACCTTGAAAGCTTGTTTAGAGGTTCTAGCCCTGGTGGGGGGTGGGAGGGATAGGAAGGGGTGCTACTCGTGTACTTTGAAAATTGGTCATTTCCTGGGGGGGGGGGAGGGGGAGGTTGTCCTCTTTGACTTAGCACAGCTCCAGAGGGTTGTACATGGAGCGGTGAGGGAGGAAGGGAACACCTGTCTAGCCAGTGAGATCCGTCGAATCAACTCTGACGATCAGTAGGGTGACAGATATTACACCCAGTTCACCCTTCACATCCAGAGCTGAACCTTTTGGTCTTAAAAAGGGTGACACAAACTTTTAATATTGAGGTATTCACATATTTTGTATCTTTAAAATAAGAGGTTCTGCAATAGACACAGGCTTCTGAATGAATGAAGAGCTCAGTAGTGGTGCAATATTTATAGATTTTTGTGTTGTCTGAAGTTCAACTCAGCCTGCTTCTCTTGGTTTCCTGGGATAGAAACATGGCAGTATCAGCATCTTATCATCTTAAATCGCTAAGCTATCTAAGGGTGGTGTAACTGCTCATAAAAGAGGCATCTCACTGCATGTTTTGACAGATGATAGTGGGTAGGATGATCTACATGCAGACAGCTTTTTTCATTCTTAGGAAGCCAGAGATATCCCATTGCTTTATAAACTGCAGAAGGCAGTGATTGATGGTGGTATGTCACACTTTAGTTGTTCACTCTCTAGTTGCCTCTTGCTTGCTTGTCTTGAGGTCAACTGTGGTAATTCTGTCTTTGTGGCTAACATGGTAGCTATCCCTCAGGGACTAGGGTGGGTCAAATTTGGCAGAATATACAGGCATAGCTGCCAACCCATGGCTAGAGTGGAACTGGAACAGAACGACTGTTCTAAAAGATCTCTAGTGATTTGTAACCAGAAACTATAAAAATTGCTGAGCGTCTAAAAATCCCATGGGGGTAGTACATTTGGATGCTAATTTTAACTTTGACTAACATGTCATAGTAATCTCCTGTAGTTGTCTGTTGAGTGTTAAATCCATTCTATATCATCTGTATTAGGAAATTTTGAGTTTCCAAGCTTGCTTTCTATTTAAGAAAATTAACATTTTATTTCTCTCTTGTACTCTGAAAAGAAGCACATAGTATAAACTTTGGAATGATAAAAGAATCAGAGTACATGTTTGGATGTTTGTTGAAGAAACATTTGGAAAATACTTAATTTTGTCACTTAACTGTTGAAGGCATGCTTTTTCTTAGCTGTGTGTTTCACTTAAGTATTTTTGTAAAATTTGGTTTATCTTTGTAAAGTAATTTTGCACTAATTTAATTTTAGCAATAAATATCAAGAGAGTTCACTGGGGCTACACTGCTAAAGTGGGTTGTTTATGAGCATGTGATTGAGGGTGAAGGTATCTAAGCCTTGATGCATTCACAGTTTACCCTGCTCCTAGGTCAGTGAGAGAGGTGGAACATGAGAATGCTTTATGAATCTCATTTACATTCCTTTTTTTCTTTGCTATCTACTTTGCTATCCATAAAAACAACCCCAATTTTCTTTCTGCCACTTTTCTGGGAGGAGGTTTGGGGGAAGTAGGATTTGCTGGCTTCCTCTTAGAGAACCCACATTCTAGAACCGTTCTAGCTCTCGATGTTCTTGAGGGATTATATGTTATTTTTCTGTTTTCTTGAAAACCTCCTCCTCCTCCTCCTCCTCCTCCTCCTCCTCCTCCTCCTCCTCCTCACTCTTACCTTTATTTAAAAAAAATTCAGCTGGTATAGAAAAGATATCAGCATGTTTTATTTTATTTAAAACGTAAAAAGGATAATCTAAGGATAATTGGATAACCTACTCCTTTCTTATTTCAGTTATGAAAGCATGCAGTCCTAGTTTTTTGCTTCGTGTTTTTTTTATTTTGTTTTGTTTTGTTTGTCTTGTCTTGCCTGTAGTAGATTTTCTCTTACTTGGCAATTTGTTAATATTCTGTTAATCTGCTCTTATGTGTTTATCACCATTTCTATTAGTTCCAAAGGGACTGATCTCCCTCTAGGTCTACTTGTGACTATGTACTAGTGTTCCTATTAAATCAGGGGACAGATTGTGAAGTTCATAGTTTTTAAACTAAGGAAATAATTTTTGGTTTGGTAAGCTCATTATTTTATTTCTTTCTCCAACCTAGGATGGTGATAGAGACATTTTTATTGATGGGATTGTTGCTCGTAATAGAGCCTTGAATGGGGATCTGGTGGTCGTGAAGCTGCTTCCAGAGGAGCAGTGGAAGGTGAGTTAAATTTTCATTTTCTAATTATAGACTTCTTATGGCCTTTTGCATCCATGGTGCATCACTGAGTAGTATGGACCCTTAAGGCCCTTTGGTTGTCTCAGTAACAGGCCACATAATGCTTAGGACATGGAAGCATCTGGTGAGCAGACATGGAATGATTTGAGTTGTTTTCCTTGCTCTCTCGCCTGTGATTTGTCTTCCCTGTCACATGATTTGCAAATTATATAACCTCTCTATGCCTCAGATGCCTCACCCATAAAACGGGAATGATTGTAGTACCTATTTCATTGGTTTGTCATGTGGATTAAATGAGAATACCTGTAAAAATCTTAGAATGGTGCCAGATTAATGGTAGCAGTTCTTTTTAATAACAGATCCAGAAATGTGCAAGTATTACCTTATACCAGAGCTTTGTTGAGGCATAAGTTTAATTCTTTTTTATCTGATAGGGCTAGAATAATTGAGTTAGACCTGTGTTCCAGGGATTTGTAAGGTTCAGGGAAATTAGTCGTGATCCAAGATGACATAGTTCTTGCCCTCATAGAGCTTTTAATCTGGTGGGGAATATAGGCAGGAAGAGACACATACTAAATTAAGAGGCACTTATACAAATTTAAGAATACATTTTTAAAAAAATCCTCACCTGAGGGTATGTTTTTAAAATTGATTTAGAGAGAGAGAAAGGAACAGATTGAGAGAGGCCGATCATGGATCAAACCTGCAATCTAGATATGTGCCCTGACTAAGAATCGAACCCCTCACCCTTCTGGTGTACAGATGACACTACAACCAACTGAGTCACCTGGCCAGTGTCAAGGATGATGTTTTTCAATGCTGTAAAGTTAAGTACAAAGTGTTTTATGAAAGTGAATTATTCTAAACCAGAGCCACTCTCCCCCGTGTGGATATAGTCTCCTCCCCTGATTCCTTGAAAGCACAGTTAAGGGTTGGCTCCAGGTCCTAGGGACACAAATTGATTTAGTTCACTTCCTCTTTTTTTGAAAGCATCATTTAGCACAGTGTTGACCAATTCCAAGAAGATAAGAGGAGTGCATTAAGGCTAAGCCAAAGGGGTCAAGCCAAAGGAAGTATTCTTAGAGGTCATTTGGTAAAGTTAAGAGACAGCGTTACAATTAAGATGATCCAAAGAAGGGCAAGAAATATGGCTTTTTTTTTTTTTTTTTTTTTTTTTTTTTTTTTTAACTTAAAGGATGATAGTGGATAGATTTGAAAGAAACGGAAGAGTTGGGTGGGTCTAGAGCTGACTAGGTGTTGACTAGTGAAGAACACCTGCTGAGCTCTGCAGAGATTGCTTAGAGGAACAAGGCCAAGTTGCCTGGCATTCTTATTGTCTTTGGCTGAGGTAGGGGATGGCTAAAATAAACAAGCATATGAATAAATAAATTGGTTACTTGTTCTTTACATTTATTTTTAAAACCAGCAAGCACATCTTTTCCTGGTATGGATGGTCCGAAGCACCCTTGCTTTGGGCAAGAAGCCTAAGAAGATGGGGGTAGGCTGGAGTTGAACGTGTTTGTTGCTGTTGTTGAGTTCTAAAAGGACAGATTTTAGACTTGGTCATTCTTATTTCTGTGTTGGTGCCTTTACTTCTAGAAAAAAAAAAACCCATACTTGCTATAAGACTCAACAAAGCAAAGTTGTGGTTTTCCCTAAAATGTCTTAATTTTGAGGACATTATCTGCTAATTAAGCAGATAACAATTTGCAGAAATTCTTCTAGCATTTCCACAGTCAAAACATTCAGAGTATAACTTGTTGTTTTTCTATTTTACAGTTAATATCTAAAATATTGGCATGGATAAAAATAAGAGCCTAGTCTGTCCAGGAGGACCCTACTGGGTTGCTGGTAGGAGTAGAGAAGGGACAGTGACAGAAGGCCAGCCTGCGTGTGTGCATAGGCCCTCCAGCTTTCAGAAGATTTGAAATGTAGAGGGGTTTCTTTCTTATGCTGTTTCTGTGGAGCCTCTAAGGGTCTTCATGTGACTGCCTGACAATTGCTTTAAAAAAAAAAATTCTCACCCAAGGACATGTGTGTTTTTTAAAAAAATTGGTTTTTTAGAGAGAGTGAAGGGGAGAGTGTGGGGGAAGAGACAGACAGCCAGATAGACAAACATCTATGAGAGAGAGAAATATCGATTGATTGCCTCCCACATGTGCTCCAACCAGAGATCGAACCTGCATTCTGACTGGGAATAGAACTTGCCACCTTTCCGTGTACTGGACAACACTCCAAACAAGTGAGCCACACCAGCCAGGATGACAATGGCTTTTTATATTAAAGTAAGCCCCAGAAGATCTGTCTCTTAGGACTCATTAGTTAGAATATTTTGCAGCTTCCCATTCTGAAGAGGGTAGTTCTGTTGATTGTAACCCACCTGTGACAGTTGTTGATGATAAGGTCAAACTAGAGAGAAGAGAATATTCAGACTGCCATCAAGAATCCCTGACATGTAGAAGCTCATCATCTCAAAGCATACTGGTCAATTGTATTACAGGTTTGTTAGTACAAAAGCATATTGTTATCAAAGGAATCTGTAGTCAATGGTGTGAACAAATGTGAATTAATTGGATTATTCATCTTTGCTTTTTTATACTTGTGCTCATCCCTCTTGGGTATGTAAACTACAGGGCCTTTGAGGTTTTGGAAAAAAACAACAGTTCGTTTAGCTATTGTAGTAAATAGTCAATTTATTTCACAGCATGTATTATTATTATTTTTTTTTTTTGTAAAATAGCTGTAAAAGTATCAAGCTGTGAACCAATATAAAAAACAATTTGCTTGTATATAATAATTTTAATTTCAGGATTATTCTACATTTTTAGTATTTATGTATATTTTTTGTTACAGTAATCTAATGAAGGATAATTGAAGGGCAAATGATAGTTTATTTTCACTTTGTCAGTTGAGAAATTGCCTTCTCTGAGAACTTGGAATTTTTGACAGAACCAGGGAGTAGAATCCAGAATCCTTGGACTCTTCGCTTATATGTGTGTGTGTGTGTGTGTGTGTGTGTGTGTGTGTGTGTGTGTGTTTGAGCAAGTGCATGTGTATATATTCTTCTAGGCTGAGCATCTGTGGCTTTCCTCAGGTTTTTAAAACAGGGGGTTGGGGCATGTTGTCCAAATAGTTAGGAGCCATGATTCTGATGTTTCTGCTTGCAGCAGTGCAGAGTACCAGGGGCTTCTCATCTTCCACCCATCTTGCTTTGTGTTAGATATTGAAGGTACAAACTCCAATAGATTATATGCTTTGCTCTTAAGGAGCTCTTAGGCTGGATGGAAAGGGGATGGGAACAATTGTAGTATGGTTTGCAGGATAGAAAGAGAGATACATGTTGTTATGGAAGCATGAAATTCTTGAGTGAGTTGGGGAAGGTCCATATAGAGGAGATTACATTTGAACTAAGGTTTGACGGATGGGAATGGAGAAGGAGAGAAAAATTGTTTTGTTTTAGGAGGAGAATGGGGCTGAGAATGATTTGGCAAGAGATGATTATGAAAGTTCCCCCTTTGAGGAGGAGCAGATGGAATAAAGCTCCCTCTTTCTGCCATGCCATTGGCTAAGTGCTGCTGCCCCTCAACCAAGTCTCCTAGACACTGGCAAGAGCAGGGGTTTCCTAACTGTTCTCTAGATCCTGCCCTTCAGGAAGATCAGCATCCTTGGCCTCTTTGCCAGAAGCTCACAGACAGAATAGTGTACTTTGGTTTGTAAAATCTTAGATTTGCCATTTATTTGATCTTCATCCTCCCTCTTCCATTCTTTTCCCTTGTCCTTTTCTTTTCTTTTTTCCATCAAGTTAATCTCCCATCATTGTTAAACAACCTTGCCCTTTATTTTATTTTATTTTATTTTATTTTATTTTATTTTATTAACTAAGAAAGTGTATCTTACTGTTTTCCTTATCTTGATACTTCATTTTCTTTAATCCTCACTTGAGGGCATGCTTAGGGAGAGGAAGAAAGAGAGAAGGAGGGAGAGAGAGAGAGGGAAAAAGAGAGAGGGGGAGGGCGGGAGAGAGATAGAGATAGAGATAGAAATAGAAATAGAGTGAGAGAGATATCTATTGGTTGCTTCCAGACGGGGGATCAAACCTGTAATCCAGGTGTATTCCCTGACAGGGAATCAAACCGTTGTGGATAGGTCATTACTCAGTCAACTGAGTCACTCTGGCTGGACCCTTCTCTTAATACTTTACAAATAAGCATTGTAAATCTGTAGGTATTGCTACTGATTACTAACTTTTTAGTGCTTACTATGTACCAGGAACTGTATTTAGTGCCTCACACCATTCTTAGTTTGTTGTTATCTCTGTCTCAGTTTTGTGAATGAGAACCTTGGGGTTTAGCTTAAACATCTTACTTATTTAGGGAAATAGGCAGCATTAGAATTGGGATTCAGATTCACATCTTATTTCGTGGTCCTATTGCTGCTTATTAGTCGAGATATAAAGAAGAAAGTTACTTGATCTGTAGATAGATATTGTTAGGTATCTTAAAAATCAGCATAAATAAAAAGTTAGCTAATATTTTAAGTTGCCATCATGGGTAAAGAAGATGACTATTAATTCAAATGACCAAAGGCCTAGTATTAGTTTTAGGAAATAATAGTTTAGAAAAAAAATTAGAATTCTAGTGCTTGTATCTTAAGACCAGAGAGATATGATGGCTTCTCATAGTGTTATGGAGGCATGTGTTGGGAATGTCACAACCTTACCAGATACTTGCTGTAGTTGGTGGATTAGATACTGAGAGGACTGACCCAATTCAGATTAAAAGCTTGCTCTGACCAGTTTGGATCAGTGGATAGAGCATTGGCCTTTGGACTGAAGGGTCATGGGTTCGATTCTGGCACAATCCCCAGTAGGGGGTGTGTGGTAGGCAGCTGATCAGTGATTCACTCCCACCATTGACGTTTTGATCTCTCTCTTCCTCTCTGAAATCAGTAAAAAAAAAAAAAAAAAATGTTAAAAAAAAAAT